CTGTTGAAAGACAACCTAGTGTTTCAAACCAATACATGCAAACTCTTCCTCAGCCTTATCGAAAAGCCTGAAACTGTTACATTACCTCATAATCCCCCCCCCCACACACACACACACACACACTTAGTAAAGAATCAGGAGATATATAAAGGTAAATGTGGGAATTTGATAAATGCAGTGATCTGTTTGATACTAAAAGAAGAATCTCAGGAAGAACTTAAAGCCATAAAGGAAACTGAAAGAAACCCAAAATATTTCTTCTCTCATGCTAAATCTAAGGGAAAAACATCTAGTACTGGACCCCTGCTTAGATGAGATGAGACTTACACAGATGACAGCAAAGAAATGAGTGAGATACTAAAGTTCCAATATGACTCAATCTTCAGCAAGCCATTAATCAGACTAAGGGTTGACAATCTAAATGAATTTTTAACTCACGAAATCGTAATGACACAATTGCAAACAAACCATACCACGGGCGGGATTTGAACCCGCGGTCAGTGTCTCAAAACTCCAGACCGTCACTAACGCGACGATCTGGAGTTTTGAGACTCTCTGACCGCGGGTTCAAATCCTGCCCATGGTATGGTTTAAATGAATTTTTTGATGACCAAGACCCAAAATTTGGTCACTTCAAAAATCTCTGATATCCTAATACAACAAGACTTCAAAGAGGCAATAAATGACATGCCCATGCTCTCTGCCCCAGGCCCACACTCGTAGAACTCCGTGTTCATCAAGAACTGCAAGAAGCACATTACATGCCTTCAGCATTCTATGGAGAAGGAGCATGGACACAGGGGTCATCCCACAGTCACTAAAAACAACAGACATAGCCCCACTCCACAAAGGTGGCAGTAAAGCACTTGCAAAGAACTACAGACCAATAGCACTAGCATCCCATATCATAAAAATCTTTGAAAGGATTCTAAGAAGCAAGATCGCCAACCACCTAGATACCCATCGATTACATAACCCAGGGCAACATGGGTTTAGAGCAAGTCACTCCTGCCTGTCCTAGCTACTGGACCATTATGACAAGATCCTGGATGCTTTAGAGGCTAAACAAAATGCAGATGTAGCATACACAGACTTTGCAGAAGCCTTCGACAAGTGTGACCACGGTGTTTCCATTGTGTTGGTATTTTATACCATTTATTTTCATTACAATCTTCAACTATAATGTTAGATCATTGAGTAAACACTATGATGATCTCATTGCATTACTGAAGTCTCTAAATGCTACTATAACTTATATTATACTTACTGAAACCTAGTTCAGACAAGATTTGACAGACATATTTACCATACCTGGTTACACAGCCATACATAACTGCAGGCCTGACCAATCAGGAGGAGACACTGTCATCTATTACTCTGATGAACTAGAATGTATGAAATCAATTAATGTACAGGGCAAAAACGGCGAATATATAATAGCTAAATTCACATCAAGAACATTTAAGAAACCTATAACAGTTGGCGCAGTCTGCAGACTACCACACACAAATGCTTAACACTTTTAGCAGTAACCTCAGAAACATGATAATTGACTCAGAGTTGAATAAACACCATCTGATACTAGCAGGAGATTTCAACATAAACCTCATCCAAGCAACTGACCCTCCAGTAGCTGATTTCACAAATACTATGAACAACAGCTACCCTCTATAACAAAGCCAATAAGAATCTCTGAAACAAGTGCCTCATTACTTGACCATATCTGGACCAACACGATATCCTCACTACAAGCAGGTATCATCACAGACAACACCACAGGCCACTACCCTACCTTTCTCAACCAACCTATCTAAATTGCCTCAAGAAACAAGAAAGATCTCATTTCTCCTGCAAGACGAGACATCGATAAACAGCCTAAAACTAGCACTAGGTGCCACTGATTGGCAGACAGAGTTAGCTGACAGTAATAATATTGATAAAGATGTCAAATTTTTTTTACATAAAACCCTAAACCTCTATAACAAGCACTGTCCAATCAAAACGAAACAGATCACAGGAAAGAGACTAAACAACCCATGGCTAACAAAAAGTATCCTCAAATCTATTAATAAAAAACACCAAACTGAAACAGTTCAGATTAGGCCTAATTACTAAAGAATTTACTAAAAGATACACATCAATACTCGCAAAACTAATATGAAAATCAAAGCATATGTATTATGAAAATAGATTTAGTGAAATAAAAGGTGATATGAAAAGTACCTGGTAAACCCTCTCCAAAATTTTGGGCTCTAGGAAACCGTCTGGAAATAGAGAGAGAAACTTAACCCTTTCAGGGTCCAGAGGCCAAATTTCATAGGGTGCACCAGTGTCCAAGAATTTTCATAAAATAATTGTTATTTTTTCTTATGAAATTTTAGAGAATCTTTTTCTGGAGGTAATAAAACAAAAAGTATGAAATTTGATGGAAAATTGACGAAATTATGCTCTCGCAAATTTTGATGTGTCAGCGATATATACGCACCGGCGATTTTGCAGACTTTGACTCCCATTTTAGGCCAATTACATTATTCCAGTCGACCAAATTCTTAGCTATTTCATTAGTATTACTTCTATTCTATCGATTGAACACAAGGATTCACCAAGTCAACTGTTTCAACTACAAAATAAAGTGATCGGAAATTGGTAATTTGGCCAATTTAACCCTTTCAGGGTCCAGAGGTCAAATTTCAAAGTGCGCACCAGGGTTCAAGAATTTAAAAAAAAAAAAATTTTTATTTTTTCTTATGAAATGGTAGAGAATCTTTTTCTGAAGGTAATAAAACAAAAAGTACGAAATTTGATGGATAACTGACGAAATTATGCTCTTGCGAATTTTGATGTGTCAGCGATATTTACGAATCGGCGATTTTTCCGACTTTGACTCCCATTTTAGGCCAATTACATTATTCCAGTCGACCAAATTCTTAGCTGTTTCACTAGTATTACTTCTATTCTATCGATTGAGCACAATAAATCACCCAGTCAACTGTTTCAACTACAAAATAAAGTGATCGGAAATTGGTAATTTGGCCAATTTAACACAAAGTTCAAAATATTCCAATTTTAAAATAGGGTCCAGAATAAACAATGCAGACATTCATGGCACTAAACTAACATTTCCTCTGTTCATTAGTTATGTTTTCAGGTTTTACAAATGAATTCCATTTTGATTTTTTATTCACAAAATGAATTTTTATTCAAATCCAAAAGTTGATGATTTACTGTTATGCAATATTGTAATAATTGTATAAATATCATCACCACATTTGTGAATGTATATTAGACGTGTGAGGTTGTTTGTTTACTCTTGAACTTCAACAAAAATTTAACATTTCCGCTACTTTGAGCTCAGTTTCAAGCCATTTCCAGTGCTAAACCCAATCAAAAATATCTCTATTTCTGTAATATATCTTCCATTCTATCAAATGAGACCAAGAAATCACAAATACAACTATAAAAAACATATGAAAAAACACTGCAAAGTCGCTGTTTTAATCGAAAATCACGGTCTCAGTTTTTTTTTCTCATTATACACTGTGCTGCAGGATTTGTTTTATGTGGTGCACACATACCACATAGATGTACTTTCTCATATGTAGGCCCAAATTTACCACTCATAGCTTATCAGAGTGAGCTGAGCTCATGACGTAGATTTACGGTTTGGACTCCGAACGTATTCCGTAGATCTACGGGACGGACCCTGAAAGGGTTAATGAAAAGTTCAAAATACTCCAATTTCAAAATAGGGTCCAGAATAAACAATGCAGGCATTCCTGGCACTAAACTAACATTTCTTCTGTTCATTAGTTACGTTTTCAGGCTTTACTAATGAATTCCATTTTGATTTTTTATTCACATAATGAATTTTTATTCAAGCCAAAAAATAGAAGATTTACTGTTATGCAATATTGTAATAAATGTATAAATAATATCAGCACATTTGTGAACGTATATTAGACCCACCAGCTGGCGTGTATTAGATGTGTGAGGTCATTTGTTTACTCTTGAACATTGGTAAAAAATTAACATTTCCGCTACTTTGAGCTCAGTTTCAAGCCATTTCCTGTACTAAAACCAATCAAAATCATCTCTATTTCTGTAATATGTCTTCCATTCTATAAAATGAGACCAAGAAATCGCAAATACAACTATAAAAACATACAAAAAAAACACTGCAAAGTTGCTGTTTTAATAAAAAATTACGGTCTCAGTTTTTTCTCTCATTATGCACTATGTGCTGCAGGATTTGTTTTATGTGGTGCACACATACCACAGACGTATTCTCTCATATCAAGGCCAAAATTTACTGCTCACAGCTTATCAGAGTGAGCTGAGCTCATGGTGTAGATCTACGATTTGGACCCTCAACGTAAAACCGTAGATCTACGGCACGGACCCTCAAGGGATTAGCTAAACTAGATGAACCTCACATACAACCTTTAGACACGGCCGACAAATTTAATGTCTTCTTCGTAGTCTACTGCAGGATCAAAGCTAGCAAGTCTAATTCCTAGCTCAAATACCCAGCCGAATGAGTACCTCACTGGCAACTACACATATACTTTATTTCTAGCTACAACTAATTCCACTGAAGTCTCACTCGTCATTAAGTCACTAAAAAACAAAGCAGGTGATCTAGATAACTTGCCGCCATTCATATATAAAAACGCTGCACATGAGCTGTCACCCATTATTGAACAATATTTAACAAATCTAAAGCATCCTCAACCTTCCCATCTATACTGAAGACAGAAAGAGTCAACCCAATCCACAAAGGAGCTGATCCAACTGACTTGAACAACTATAGACCCATATCAAACTTGCCCTTACTTTCCAAGTTATTCGAAAAAATAACACGCAAGGGACTTTACTCCTACCTTACATCCAACAACATACGTAACCCATGCCAGTTTGGGTTTAGAAAAAAATAAGTATGTATGATGCTATTATACAAATGCTTGAACTAATATACACAGCTCTCAATAAAAATGAATATC